TTCCTTATATTGTTGTTTATCAAAACATGTACTCAATTGGATGTAATTTATTCATTTTGAGGTGGATTTTTTAGTTGAAATTGCTGATGTAAGGTGGCTCAGTGAAGAACAGATTTTTTATTTTTTTATTTTTATTTTTTGTAATCCGTGATGGAATTTTTTGAAAATTTGTAATTTTTCGAAAAGATGTGAAAATCGTGACAAGGTTTTGATTGTCATGAGGTATTAAACCATATTTTTAATTTTTATTGTTTGAGTTTGCTGTACTTTTTTTTTTTTATCCATGATCAAATTTTTTGAAAAATGATGATTTTTCTAAAAGATGTGAAAATCATGAGCAGGTTTTGATTATCATGAGGTATTAAACCATATTTTTAATTTTTATTGTTAAAGTTTTTGTTGAAAAAATTGTATGTTGATAGATAATTTATGCAAAACTGTATTTTTTTAATTTGTTGTTAATGCATTTTTGGGTTGGAATGACTGATGTTAGGTGGTTATGTGAAGAATTGTTTTTATTTGTTTTTTTTTTAGTACATGATCGAATTTTTTTCAAAAATCGTGATTTTTCGAAAAAATGTGAAAATAGTGACCAGGTTTTGACTATCATGAGGTATTAAACCATATTTTTAATTTTTATTGTTAAAGTTTTTGTTGAAAAAATTGTATGTTGATAGATTATTTATACAAAAAAATGCATGTTATTATATTTTTAATGCAAAACTGTATTTTTTTAATTTGTTGTTAATGCATTTTTGAGTTGGAATGACTAATGTTAGGTGGCTATGTGAAAAATTGTTTTTATTTGGGTTTTTTCTTTAGTACATGATCGATTTTTTTTGAAAAATCGTAATTTTTTGAAAAGATGTGAAAATAGTGACCAGGTTTTGATTTTTTTAATTTTTATTGTTAAAGTTTTTGTTGAAAAAATTGTAGGTTGATAGATTATTTGTGCAAAAAAATGCATGTTATTACATTTTTAATGCAAAACTGTATTTTTTAAATTTGTTGTTAATACATTTTTGAGTTGGAATGACTGATGTTAGGTGGCTCTATGAAGAATTGTCTTTTTTGTTTTTTTTTTTTAGTATATGGTCGATTTTTTAGTACATGGCCGAAAAGATGTGAAAATAGTGTCCAGGTTTTGATTATCATGAGGTATTAAATCATATTTTTAATTTTTATTGTTAAACATACATGTTATTATATTTCTAATGCAAAACTGTATTATATTTATAATGTAGTTTTGCATTAAAAATGTATTTTTAAAATTTTGAACGCAAAAAATACATGTTGTTAAATTGTATTATCGTGAGGAATTAAAATGAATATCATTGTAATAAAATCGTGGCATGTATGACCATTATATTATCTTGCATTTTTTCAATTTTATTATTAAATTTTTAATGCAAAAAATATATGTTCTTGATAATTGAGTTGTAGTGTATTATATTATACTGTATGTTTGTAATTGATATGTACGAAAATATTATTGTCAATAGAAGTATTTTGCAATAACAAATAACTACATGAAGTACCCTAACGTATTATCACTACAAATGGTGATTATTTTTCTTGTTGAACTGTCAGGTTAATTTTTAACTTTTTACATATTAAAACAGTTGAACCATGTTAAGATCTGCAGAAGACCCTGCATGGCAACATGGGGTCAAACTTGATCCCAACAAAAAAGATAAAATTATTTGTAATTACTGTCAAAGAGTGATAAGTAGTGGGGTACATAGGTTCAAGCAACACTTGGCAGGGGTTAAGGGAGATGTTTCTGCATGCAGTAGTGTCCCTAGTAATGTAAAAAAACAGATAACGACATTTCTTAAGGCTAACAAAGGTAAAAAAATTGCCAAACATAGGATGAATTAGAAGATAGCTAGTTTATATACGCCATCAAACAGGAATGATCCAGAAGAGCAATATAATAATGACTTAGAAGAGCAATATAATAATGACCTGGTGATGGCCACAAGAATGAGTTTATATGAACAATATCAGAGGGAACGTGGGTTTAGAATGTCCGGTGGTTATGACATAGGCATGCATGGTGGGTCTAGCTCAGACATGTATGACAGGCCCAGCTTAGACATGCATGGCGGGTCCAGGTCAAGCATGTATGGCGGGCCCAGCTCAAATATGTATAGCTCAAATATATATAGAGGGGTTGGTGGCAGTATGTGTCAACAAGAATCAAATATTGAAGAAATAGTTCCTAGCTTATTTAGGAGTGCCAGTATTGCAGGTCATGGTCGTATAGACTCATTTCTCTCAAAGCCTAAGTCACAACAGATGACCTTAAAAGGCATGGTTAAAGGTGCAAAAAACATGTTAGGGAGATATGTTGGTAAATAGTTCTGTGATAGAGGGATTCCTTTTGATGCAGCCAATGACCCATATTTTTCACCTATAGTCAGTGCAATCCAAAGAGCTGGACCCGGGGTAAAACCCCCGACGGCATATGAGCTCAGCGGGCCAATATTAGATGAAGAGGTGGAGGATATTACAAAGTGGATTCAAGAATATAAACAGAGTTGGCCAAGAACAGACATTACTCTCATGAGTGATGGTTGGTTGAATAAAGTTAGCAAAAAGGAGTTTTTAAACTTCTTGGCCTATTCCTCAAAAGGTACAGCTTTTTTGTTTAGCAAAGACGTATCAGGGACGAAGAAGGATGCAAACTTTTACGTACGACTATATGATCAGATAGTGGAGGAGGTGGGAGATATGCATGTAGTCCAGTTTATTACGGATAATGCGCGTGCATGTGTTTCTGAGGGCAGCAAGTTGATGGATAAGAGGAAGCATCTAGTATGGACCCCGTGTGCTGCACACAGCATCGATCTTATGTTAGAGGAGATCGGTGAGATCAAAATTGCGAAGAAGACTCTAGAGGAAGCAAGGTTGGTGTCGAGATTTATATACAACTACTCTAAAATTTTATTTCTGTTTAGAGAACACTCTAAGAAAAAAGAGATAATCAAGCCTGCCATAACCCGCTTTGCGATCGATTACTTAGCTGTGGACTCCATTCGGAAATCTGAATGTGCATTAAACAGATTGTTTACCTGTAAAGAGTGGTTAAATAATCGCCTCTCGAAGTCCAGTACCGGTATAAAAGTAGATGGCATAGTCTCAAATAAGAGGTTCTGGTCTTGATGTTTCAGTGTCGTAGGGGCCACTGCCCCTTTGGTCACGGGTTAAGAATGGTGGATGCTGACAAGAAAGCTACCATGGGCATCTTTTATGAAGGTATCGAGAGGGCGAAATCAGCTATTGGGGAGAAGTGTAGTTTTGCTAGCAAAGTGATCGAGATTATAGAAAAGAGGTGGAACACCACATTTGGACGTCCAATTCATTATGCTGGTAAATATATATTTATATCATTAGAATGTTTCATTTTAAATCATATTTTTATGAAATTGTAAATAATATTTTTCTATCTATATAGTTTCTAGGTTACTACTTCAACCCAAGATTTTTCTATTTGAAAGCTGAACATCCCTACAAGATTATGGAAGGGGTTAGATACATTATTGCAAGGTTGGAGAGAAGCCATCGAAACCAAGTAGTATCAATACAAGAGGTATTATTTAATGTTTGGGTACGAACTTCATTGAGTTGTTATATTTGTGATGAATAATGCACTAAAACGAAATATATTTGTTTTAGCTTGCTATGTATAGGGATGCTATAAGATCCTTTGGAACTAGACTTGCCAGGAATTCTCGAACTACGATGGTTCCATGTTATCCCCTAACTAATATTTTGTTCATTCATATATTTAATCTTATGAATTGTTCTTGCCTTTACAATGCTTTTTATATTTTAATCCACCTGAATGGTGGGAGATATATGGTACTAATGCACCTCACCTAAAGATGATAACAATCAAGGTGCTCTCCCAAACATGTTTTGCTATTGGCTGTGAGCGCAACTGGAGTACGTTCCAATGGTTGCACACTAATAGGAGGAATAGACTCGGTTCAGATAAGCTTCATAAACTAGTCTACGATCATTACAACTTAAACCTCCGAGATCGACAAATAAGAAAAAAGCTTGAAGACTATGGGCTGATACACTTAGACACAATATTTATCACAGACACAGCAAACCAATAGGTAGTAGAAGAGGAGGAGCCAATGTTGTACAAGAGAGCATTCCTTGAGGCTATCGGTGAGGAGGATCTCGAAGAAGGTGATGAGCAGCATGAAATAGGAAGCAGCCAGCCAACGTATCCACAATTCGTCGGAGATGTCGGTGATATTGCACCTAATGAGGAGAGTGGGAAGGGGGTCTAAGGGAAAATGAGAGAGATGATGATTCTGAGGCTGCCCTATCCCAACCATATTATTCACATATCGAGTCCCAACAGCAACATGGTAGGGATGAGCACGACATTGTAAGTGAGCATGAAGGATGGACAAGCTTCGGGGATTTTGGATTGGGAATTTAACAGAACACTAACACTCAGGGATTTGGGTATAGTCAGACGCCTGTTAATATCGATGATTCGTTTTTAGATCGAATAAATGAATTGTCAAACGAATTCAATCAATGGCACCAACGTGACCAATATGAAGAACGACGTCGTCTGCCATTTTTTTTAGATGGTATGTTACTAATTGTATGCTTTATTGTAGTCCATGTATGTTGATATATTTATTTCATGATAATTCTATGTTTATCCTTTTGTGTGGTGTAAATTAAATGGTAAATAGTAGTTCATGTAGGAAAATAACATATCAATATTCGCATATTCATATAAAGAAATGAAAATTCTTAATGGAGTACTCTCATTCCTTATTGAATTCCTAAAAAATAATATTTATAATGAATTTTAATAAATTTTTCGAATTTTTTTGAAGTTTTAATTTGACTGAGTCAGCCGATTTTCGATCCGAATTACCAGATTCACCGATCCGGATTGAATTTTGAGGTGCCCAATCCCGGTCACCTATCCGCTTTCTAAACCATGGCTGCAACAGATTTCAGTCATCCAAAGAAACGCAAGCAAGCAAGCAAGGCTATGTCCCAAGTAAAGTAGCAACCCTGCTGCATCATCCACTGCCATGATTTCTCAGCAACTCTTCCTCACCCACACTCTCCTCCACCCCACTCCCCCTCGCCCGCTCACTCTCCCCCACCTCAGTAGAACCCTAACCCCCGCTCTCCACTCCTCCAAACTGCCATCCCCAATCTCTTGCATTTCTAAGACCCAACCCATGGAGATCGAGACAGAGATGTTTAAAAACAAGGATGGCGTGTACACTGCCAACCACCACCACAAGGTGGCCGTTCTCTGGGATCTCGACAACAAGCCGCCTACAGGCCCACCCTATGATGCCGCCCTCGCCCTTCACAATGCCGCATCTCGCTTTGGCGACATCTGCCACTTTGCAGCCTTTGCCAATCGTCACGCCTTCTCTCACCTCCCGAATTGGGTACTCGAGAAAAGGCGCGAGCGCAAACAGCTCGACATCCTTGAGCGCAAGGGGCTCTCTAGCTCCGAATCGCCATACATTTGTGGGGTCTGTGGCCGCAAGTGCACGACCAATATCGACCTAAAGAAGCACTTCAAGAACTTGCATCAGAGAGAGAGGGAGAAGAAGCTTGGGAGGATGAGATCACTTAAAGGAAAGAAGAGGCAAAAATATAGGGAGAGGTTTATTAGTGGGAACCTAAAATATGATGAGGCAGCAAAGGAGTTACTGACACCAAAGGCTGGGTATGGTTTGGCGTCAGAGCTGAGGAGAGCTGGGGTTTATGTGAGGACGGTGGAGGACAAGCCTCAGGCCGCGGATGCTGCATTGAAGAGGCAGATGCAGCATTGTATGGGGAATGGGGTGGATTGTGTTTTGCTCGTATCTGACGACTCTGATTTTTCAGAGATGTTAAGGCGAGCGAGGTCCATTGATCTTCAGACTGTAGTTGTTGGTGATGGAGGGGCATTGAGGAGGCATGCGGATGTGTGGATGTCATGGAGGCATCTACAGAGTGAGCTTTGTGGCTTTGATGGCGAGGGCTCCATGCATAATTTGGATTTTGAGGAGTCTGATTATGAGAGTGAGAGTGATGGATTGGATGGAGTGGAAGTGTTGAGATCTGGGTTTAGTGTAAGTGTTTCAGGTTTTTCAGGGATGGATGTGGAGTTTGATGAGCGAAATGGGTTTCGGATACTGGGTCGGTCGGTTGAGGATTTGGGGTGGGAGAGTGACGAGGAGATGGACTTCTTCTAATTATAATTGTCCGGTGTGAAGGTAAGAGACGGGCAACTTGATCCTTCGTTTAATACAATGTGTGTCCCAACTGTTTGTAGAAATTCTTATATTCTAGATGCGTGTTGTTCTGAGAGGATGGAGGGTTGTTACTTATGTTGGAGCTGTGAATGTACCCATGTGAATTACTAGGTCCCACTAAGCTGAAACAGGAGTGAGCATTTGTTTTTACGTGCATTTTATGGAAGTTTGTATCATAATCTTAATAATAAGACTATTAGTGAATATTCACTACATATATGTTCTTGGATTTACTCTTTCTCCTTGCTCTCCCCTCTCCTTGTTTCTTGTACATGTTTCTATGATTTCCGATTTCTATGAGTCCATGTAGAAATGAGTTACCTCTTAAAAATCTAATTTTGAGATGAATTTTTGGACTTAATTTTTAAGGACATGTAATCTCTAACATGGAGATCATTAATATGAAAAAATAAATAAATTTTGGAAATTAGAAATAATATTTCTATTAAGAAAACATTTGCACCTTTAGTTTCACATCCATCTTTAAGATGGAAGCTTTATACCTTGAGGACCGCAAATGTAGAAATGCAGTCCTCGCCGCATGAAACAATTTTCCTTTGTTATTTGTTCATAATGTTGGTTTCTTTTCAGTATAGAAGGATTTTATCCATATCACACTCTATGAATAGATCTAATGTACATCCCGTAATTCAATAGGATGACATCATCAATGGGTGTTTGATTTTCATTTTTCTTGAATGCAAAATTTATTGGGTTATTGGGTTTTTTTGTTCTCTAATTATCTGCATGATGAACATGAAGCTACCGGTTCAAAGAAAAATTATATTTCAACTTAGTACGTAAGGTGGTGCAAGAAACACATGATGTTTGATTGAAAAGTTGTTGGAAACAAATATGATACAAGCAACCCATGATGTTTGGTTGAAAAGTTGTTGGAAACAAATATGATATAATGTGCATGTGAAATGAGTGCATGTGTGAGAGACTTTGTGAATGAGATGGTCATCTTCTGCTGGTTGTGTCAAATAGACTAGGCATTAGTCACACTCTATCTGGATGGGGACAAAGAAGGTCAGAATGTTGATCCAGTGTGGAGTCGTGCTTCGAAAAGGAGACATCAGCCGATGTGGAAATATGTAATGAGTTCAAAAAACTGACATGACAAAGGTGCATATGGAGATGTGGGGAATATGAAATTAGTTTCAAAAAGTTGACTTGATAAAAGATAGATATCCTTCCTTCCTATTGATGGTTGTAATGTGCCCTTCTCTCTATGATGGAAGTATGATAAACATGTAGGGAAGCACATGCTGCAATATTATTGCTGTGGTGTTCGGAATTTAAAAAGAATATCCAACTAGGCACACATATGCTATAGGTATCAGTTCTATAAGACTCTATATTTGGAATTTACGATAGGGAAGTCTGGTAGCGACGCGGCTTAATAAGTAGAACCCAAGTGTCAGGGATTTTTTGTTAACTTTGTTCTCCTAAGAATCTTGGATGTTTTCCTCAGGAAAGCCTCCCTGTTCCCTAACTGTTCTTATAGGTTCCAACTTCTCTAGCTTGAACTGGACTCAGACGCGCTCAACCCTCCAATTCCATTGGTCGTAGGCGAGGATTTCAATGTCATCAGATGGGTCCATGAGGAAAATAGAAGGGGTAAGATAACTTCTAGTATGAGAACCTTTTTAGAGTTCATAGATAGTAACCTCGTTATTGGTACCCCTTTGAATGGAGGAACTTTATGTGGTCCAAACATGCTGCTGATTCTCTCCTCACCAAAATTGATAGTTTCCTTGGGTCCACAGAGTGGGAATCTCAATTCCCTGGGTATTCTGTCATCAGCTCTTCTTAGGACTGCATCCATAGACCTATCCTGCTCAACTCCAAGCCTTTCCCGTGACCAAATAAACCTTTTAGATTCAAAATTTTCTGGTTGGATGGATTAGAATTTTCTAAAAAATCCTTGGTCCTCCTCACAGTGCATGGATGGGTAGGTTTTCATCTCTCCAAGAAACTACAACTTCTGAAAGCCTCCCTTATGCGTTGGAATAAGACCTTGCCAAGAAACTTTAGAAGCCAAATTCAATTGTTCAATTCTAAAGTACAGGACTTGGACAGCATAGAAGAGACTAGACAGCTTTCGATTCAGAACTCCTTGAGAGGACTTCAGCTAAAGGAAACCTCCTCTCAAACCTAAAACAAGAAGAAATGTACTAAATTCAGAGATCTAGGGTAAAATGGCTTAATGTAGGTGACAGGAATACCGCCTTCTTTCATTAGATCGCTAACTCTAGAGGAAGAGGTAATGCAATCACTCAAATCACTGTGCATAACCGAACTTAAACCCAGCCCCAGCAGGTAAATCGAATCATAGTTAGGTACTTCAAGAATCTCTTTTTGAAATCAGAGGGCCCTAGACCTAGACTAGTATATTTGTCCATCGAACCTTCCAAAACCAACAAAACAGCCCCCCTTCCAAGTTCAAGATTCAGCTTCGTTTGAAAGGCCTTTCTCGGTAGATGAAATTAGAAAGGCTGTGATTGATTTAGCCGAAAAGACAAAGCTCCTACCTGATGGCTTTCTAATGGTAATCTTCCAAAATTTTGGGATGTAATCAACCCGGACCTCCTGGTCTTATTAACGAATTCATCCAGAGGAGTCGAATTCACATATGCATGAATTCTACCCTCATTTCCCTTGTTTCAAAAATCAAACTATCCATGAATTCTACCCTCATTTCCTGTTCCAAAAATCATACTATCAGCCGTTTAAACTCTTCTTGCAAGACTTAAAGCAGTCCTTGGTAATGTCATTTCCAACTCACATTCAGCTTTTTTGGCCAACAAACATATCCTTGATGGAGCCCATGAAGCTTCCTCTCCAGGTATATAGCAGGGTCTGAGGGCCTTGTTATTGCGTGGAACAGGGTTTGCTAGGTGGACTAAGGATTAGAAGGATGAAAGAAAATAGCTTGGCTCTACTAGAAAAATGGTGGTGGAAATTTGCAGTAGAAGACTCAGCTTTGGAGATAAGTCATATAAGCAAAATATGGCATGGAAGATGGTGGCTAGTTACTCTCACCACTGCGCTTCTCTGGGGCTTGGACCAGTATTGCTAGGTGCACGGCCAATTTTAGGAACAATATCAGATTCGAAGTAGGAGGTGGGCATAGAGTTAGGTTCTGGAAAGATTTATGGATTGGATATCAAACTTTGCAGGCTAGATGTTCCTCCCTTCTTTCAATTCCAACCAACGAGGACTCCATGGTGGTGGAATACACTGAATTTACGGGCAGCAACCTTGTTTGGAGCCCCATCTTTAGAAGGGTTCTCTCACATCTGACAGTGGCCTTCTAATGACCCTGCTCCAAGTACTTGAAGGCTCTGTTATCCCTCTTCAGAGCAACAATGTGTTGATTTGGTCATCGTCACCTTCATGTAAATTTTCAGTGGGTTGCTTCTGCTCTCCCCTTTTGACTCCACAAAAGACTAGCCCCCTTTACAATCAAATCTGATTGGCGCCATTGCCTCACAAGGTTCAGGCTTTTGCTTGGATTCTAGTTCATGGTGGGCTTCTTATAGGAGATCAACTCCAAAAGAGTGGTCAACTTCCAAATTGGTGTGTGACGTGGCAGCAGGAAGAGGAGACCTCTGACCACCTATCCCTCTATTGTAAGTTCATTTCATATCTTTGTTCCAGCTTCCTTTAGCTCTTTAGGTTACACTAGGTCACTCCAGCGTCCATACTTGAACTTCTCTGGGCATTCTTCTCTCTGCCTTTCCCTGAAAATGGTCAGCATCTCTGGGTAGTGGTGGTTTTTGCCTTGCTTTGGAGGGTATGGAAGGAAAGAATTGCTCGTATTTTCTGTAACTCTCTGCTCCATTATCAGCCTCTATTTGACCGCATCAAAGCTGGAACTTGGGTCTAGGCTAAGAGACAGCCTGCCTACAACAACCTAGGCTTCATTGTACTTCTCAGCAATTGGCATAATATCTTACTCTTCTCCCCCCTGCCCCCCCTCTCCTTTCTTAAGGCTTTCTCAAACTTAATGTAGATGGGTGCTCCCTAGAAACCCCGAGCCCTCGGGGTTTGGAGGGTAGCCTGGTGAACCACAAAGAGGTGCTTCTCTCGTTCTCAGTATCCAACAGTCACTAGGGCTCCACCATGACTGAATTTGTGGTTGTCCTTGAAGGCCTTAACCCCTTAGCTGCCAACTCTCTCACCCTTATCGTAGGAGACTCAAAGAATATGGTCTCTTAGGGATCCAAGAGAGTACATCCACCCTGGCAACTAGCAAATACTCACTATCACATCTACTTGCTCTGCAAGGCCAGTCAAGTCATCTTCAACCAAATCCCAAGAGAAGCTAACATGTTTTCTGATTTTCTCTCTTAGGAAGGTGCTTCGGGCGTAGTGCATGTTGGAGCAGCCTCCTTATGATCTCTTGTTCTTTCTTCAATTTGTATGGCTTAACTTGCTCTTCCCTCCTCTATCTTCCTTCCTGTGCCCCTTTTTTCTTTCTTTTCCACTCCTCATCCTCTCTAATTCCTCCTAAATCTCCCTCGGCACTCTGGCCTTCTTCTTCCTCTCCCTCTCTCACCTTATGTCTTCCCTGATCTTATGCTCCATTCTCTTCTTCCTCCTAGTCTCACTCTCAAAATCTCTCCTATTCCATGCCTCTGCTCCTTCTTTGAGTTCAACCCCCATTCTTTCTAATCGTTTTCTCTTTTTTGATAAGCTGCCTATTTAAGTGGGCAGCCCCACTCTTGCTTATTCAACTTCCCAACCCTCCTCCGCTCCTTTCCCTATATGCTGCATAGTACTAGCAGGCTCTGTCATTCTCATCTACTCCTTTTTCAGGTAAGCTCTCTGTATGTAGGTGGACGTTAAAGGATTTTAAAAAAATAACTAAAGGGAAAAGAAGAGGAAGGAATGGGGGAAAAAAGAGGCGAGAAAATAAGAAAACGGGAGACAAAACAAAAAAAAGGAAAAAGGGAAGATATAAGGGGGAAAAAAAGGAACTCATCCTACAGGCCATGACTCTGACTCAAGGGATGCCACCTTAGCTCATTGGGTGGTGTTCAGTGGACCACCAAGAGGGCTGATGTTTCCACTACTATCAGCCACATTATAAAGATGCCGCTGCCAAGTGATTACTAAAGGATGGCGAATCGATTGTAATGGTGGTTGGCGCTTCATATCTATGCCCCTCTCCCTTCTCCTCTCAAACTCATTAAACTCAATAGCTGTCTTTTCTCCTTTCTTAAAC